TTTTGGCTGATCGTGTAAGACACCAGCCGAGCCGAGCCGAGCCGAGTCGTGCCGAGCCGAGCCGAGCCGAGTTTTAGTAATTGCTCGTACCGGCAGCCGGTGCGCTTTCGACTAAGTTAACCAAAGGCATCTGCCGAAAAAAATTACTGTTTGCGACAAAAATCTGCAGGAAAACTGTGCAAAAAACGCATCTTCGCGCCGGTAGCTGGTGCGCTGGCTAATTATTTTAAATTTTAAGGTTGCGGCAGTACCTCTAGCGTTCGAAATTGAAACAAGTTATTTTGGTAATTGAAAGAATATTCAAATATTTCTAACAAGCCGTAGGGGAATCCTGCTTCCCTAGTTTAGTGACCGCATTTTTCTGTTCTTCCAGCACTGAATGGCATCGATTTTTCGCAGCTTATCATGCTAATTTGGTGCTATCAGTGTCGTTCTTTCATGAGTTGGCATGATATGTGTTTTAGTCCGTAACATGCGATAGTTGCTTCCCGTATTGGAAAAGGATACTATGGAAAGATTCTTGAAAATGCGCTGAGCACTGATCATGACGCAGTGGTTCTCTTTATAAATGTGCACATAACATACGCGCATACATACATGCATGCAAACAAGAACTGATCATAAGACAATTTTGTTTATTTAGTAAAATACGAAAAAGTCAAACCTGTATGGATGTTTCGAAGTGTGAATCGGCTAAACGACAAACCGAATGCAACAAGTCTTGTGTTGGACACGGAAAGCACAGCTGATTAATACTGTCGCGCATGACATCAACGTGTAAAGATACAGACTTCAGCCTCTTCATTACGGATGAAGGCGTCTTCGAGAATAAGTATCCCAAGTAGCCGCTGCTGTGATACAGTGACATGTCTGTAACAGTAAACTCTATCTCTTTTCATTTTCGCACAAATGTGTTTTCCAGCTCTATCAGAGAACAGGGTTTCTTCAGTTATAGTGCCACTAAGGCGGGCTCTTAGCATTTATGCAACCGAAAATGATGTGTTTTCGTTTTCTGCACCAAAAACCCGTCAAAATAAACAGCATCTTTGTGTTAATGTATGTATATACACGTTTTGAATTCGCTTGTCATGAGTAATTTGTTCTCATAGTTGTGAAAGCTGGAAAGTGGAAATTTGGGGAGCATAACTCTTGTCTGTGCGCAAATTTCGAAACGTAAAAGCAAATTTATTGTCCTCTTTAGTTATACTCCTTCGATTAGAGCAGTTGCTAACTGGAAACGTGCAATCCAAAAGCTAGTATCCTGTCAGAATCGCGCTCGGCATGTAGCATGTTCCAGTTCGATCACTAACATCGGTTCTCTATATCAATTGAATATCAAAGTCTAAAAACTAAAGCAGCGTCTCTCTCTGCTAGTAGCAAACCATCGCATGTATCACTAGTGAATCTCTATGTCATTTTTTGAACAGAAGAAAGAATTTGATAGCTGTGGAGGAGTAAATAGTACCTCTCAGCTGACATGGAATGTTGCCGATGACCCTGTATTTTGCTCCAATATCTTTTACAATCATTACCACTTCCTTAATTCTATCACATTCTGAAATGATGTGGCAAATTTGGACATCACTAAAATAGAAATTATGTTCTCACACTCACTTTCTTTTCACAAACAATTAGCAGTCTGCCAGTTGGTACTTATGCATTACACTTCCGTAAGGAAGGGTTGCAGGATCATATAATGCAGTTGTTCGCTTACTTGACAATACAGTACTCAAATTACTCTCCTGGAATGATCGCCTGGGTGCGAGTCGTGCAGTGCTGATAATGCAGCAATCCACTGGATCATCACTTATCTGCAAATCCAAATATAACTATGCTTCACTTCCATCCGTGCCTACTTTTCATTTGACTTAGTTCCATTATTTGTGATCTGCATTTCCAAAACACTGGGTAAGCTCACCTAACTGATAAGCGGTTTTTAAATTTCTTGGCTGAAATGGAGTTGCTTCTGGTATAGAAATAAAACAAATTGAATTTTGACTTCAGACTATAGAGAGCTTGAATTATGACTTGAAACTATTTTTTAGCAGTTCGCACCAAATATCTTGAAATAAGTTTATAGTCGTTACTAATGCCAATGACCTTGCTTCCTGTTTATTGTTAAATTTATGCTTTGGGACCCTTGGAACCTGTGAGTTTTGGGTTTCAAGATATTCTTTTGTAGCCACTCCATGGCGCGGTACTCGGAGCGTTCTTGGCCGGGGAACCCACTGGAAAAATTTTACGCATGTTTGAGTTACGCGTACTGCTCCGTGAAAGTTTTGGCAGAAAAAAACGCTAACTCGGGAACCAGGAAACCCAAGAGACTAAAATTTTGAAGGGATATTCTCAGACCATGTAGAAGTTAAAGATTTCAAATTCACCCCTTAGATATGCGCGGTTACTGCGTATGGCCCTGTGAAATTTTTTTGCGGGAAAATTGTTAACTCTGGGACCAGAAAAGTTAAAAAACTAAAATTTTAGTGGAATCTCCCCTGTCCGAGTGTCATGTAGTTGCATAACTAACTTTTCGAACTTCGAGAACCAGTATGCCACAAATTCTAGCTACTGAAATTCCAAACGATCTTACTACAGCACGAAATACTGCAAAAACGCATGATCGCACCGGCACGCCCGGTGTGCGTCACCAATGATTTGAAACCATTTCCAGTCTATACTGTGGCCGAACCTACATCCCAGGTTGAACTGCAGTTTAAAATTTTAAATCGATGACTGGGGGTGCGTGTTAAAAATTTTGTTCAATTTGTCTGCCATGTGACTTGAAGCAAATACTTTGTAATCAGTTTGCAGGTTTTGCTTTCTCCCAACTTGTGACTTTAGCTCCTACTTCACGCGAATTTGTAACTCGAAAGCCAAAAAAAAACTACATGCTAGACATTTTGGCGGATTAACCCAGTAGATAGATCAATACAAAAAGTATGAAATTAATTCTTAAATCATGCTGCATCCTGCTTTGGGGCCTTAAGCTTGTGTATGGACACATAAAGTTTCACAGCGGGAAACCTAGTTTGGAAACCAGACGAGACAGAAAGCTGAAATTTAGGAAGTTGTTTCCTTTCAATGTGTAGCCTTGAAAATTCAACTGTAGCTTGCACTTACGCCTA